GGGAAACCAATATGAAGGGAAAGCGAGGCCGATTTCTTCTACACCCTTCCCTTTTTCCAAAATCATCAGCCTTTTCAGGAAATGATTGGATTCTGTCCGACGACGAATACAATATTAAGATCAGTACTTTTTTTGATCACCAGGTAGATCTGTAGATTAAGGTGCCCAAATTTCACTTATTTTTGTGGGATACTGGAAATTCTTTATTCTCAAATCGTGAGTTGCACTCGTGAGATACCCTCTGTATACAGCCACGTTATCCCAATGTAGCCAGTGACTGGTCCCATATAGCTGATATCGTCGCAACAGTCGGGGTGGTCCGTAGGGGTGGAACGAGCCCGCCTCCCGCTGCGGTCTCTAGCCTTCGTAATCGATTAGTGATCGACTCAGGGAGCAAACAGCTAGTGGTAGAAAAGCGCTGTGGCTCATTCCATGCCTTGACACCGCCCCGACTGATTGCTGCGATATTAACTGCAAGGAAGTGGTAGGCTGGTCACGCATCTTTAGATTGTGAGTGTAGAATAAGGTTACGATGAAATTCCCTCACGGTATTCTCTCACGGTACATCATTGCTGCGTAAAACAAACCGGAAGAGATTTCAGCAGGCCTGAAAAAGTCTTCCCCTTTTCTTTTTTCCCCTTTTCCTCCCTCCTCTACCCTCTTCAATGTCGACGACGGGACAAAACTACTTATTGTGACAATGAGTAGTTGATCAAAGCTGCCTACTCCACCCCCCCCCTCCCATCCCTCCGTCCCGACTGCAAAGCCTTAGAAAAGTCGAATAGAATATCGGTAAGTTGCACACGTGGAGGCCATACAAAAGATCGAAATTTTGGGGACAGGAATGTTAGTAAAAATTCCAGCAATGCGATAATGTGCTTTTCGTTCTGCTGTACAGCCGTGAGGCGCAGGAGAACAGTGTTCTGGCTTCCAGCACACTAAACCATCACCGTGTGAGCATTAGGAAGTATCTTCTCTTGGGGACGGAAACGATCCTTTCGCTGCCTGTACCAGCGTGGTGAGTCAGCGCTGTAGGTGAACGACTGCAGCGTGCTAATGTTCAAAGGTAACAGAAGGGAACACGAGAAAGGCTTAAGTGTGTGCACCACGTATAGAACAACTGCGAGTTATTTGCTTCTCGCTTGATGATTGCAATGTATGGTTGATATCGTCGCAAACAGTCAGAGCGGTGTCAGATGGAGCGAACGGGACCCCTTCTGCGCTGTGTCTAGATGAATACGCATTATAGTACAGTAAAACCTGACATGCTACTACTGTTCTCGTGCAGTTCACGTTGTAACCCTATCAAATACGCCTCACTTTGCGATTAAAATCTACTCAAAAAACCATTGCTCACCTCAAAATGAGCTATGCCGTTGTATAGTGTAAATGCCGAAGGGTAACAGAGAATCTCTGCACCCTTGTAACGATTCCATAAAGCCAATTCAGCAAACCTGAGGTCGTGACAAACGCCTAAACCGATTCGCCCGATTGGCGTGGCCACAGGAGGAACCATCTGAAAATAAACTTCAGCTAGAGTGGACCTCGGGATCTTGTAATAATATAAGTTCTTTATGTATAGTCTCGAGAAGAAAAAATCTAGACTAAACCGTAAACCGGAAAAAAGGATGAATGTAGCTTTTGCTGACCTTAATTCCTCCTCGGCTGAGCTCACTTTCCATGAATCTCACTTTGCCTGGAATGTCCACATCGAAGAGGTGCAGTTTGTTATAAAGTGCTCTTGTGTTGCCTTCATTGTCGATTATTATATGGGAATTCCATGGCAAGGAACCAGAGGGATCCTGAAGAAGCTGTTGAAGCGTTGTGGTCATATTGCTTCAGATAAAAATGTATCAGAATGTTGACTCCTCTCGATTTTGAGTGTTTCAAGCACACTATATCAAACCGCTCGGCAGTTTTCTGCGGCAGAAGCAAAGAGGTTCTTGAAATGGAGTTGAAAAGTGGTATGCAGCTGACAACAGAGTTGAGGATGATGGTAGGTAGGATGTCGTAAGGGGAAGGAGTATGGGGATCGTACTAGAACAGAAGGCCCTGAGGGACAGGGTCGAAAGCTGTGAAGTTTTTCACCAACGGCAGGTCGCGCCCCGCTGGTAACCATAATTTTTGACCGCATCCTATTTTTCAGATACGAAGCGCATGCCACTTAGGGCACAGCATCGTGATGTGTGGAACGGCGGTCTAGGTACGCCCCTCCCCTTGAGTGAGGGTGTCAGTACACCCCCTCCCCCTCCTAAATGAGGGTCCCGGTACGACCCTCCCCCACTCCCCAAAACCTAACTACCAATTTTACACATTTTCCAGTTTTCCACCCGAAGAAAATTTCGCTGAGGGGGAGGGGGTTAGGGGTATACAGTACAATGAAAAAGGAAAAATCACGCAAAGTCAACAACCAGGAAAAATGTTATTCCCATGGCGAATTTCTCTCGTACATGCGACTCCCCTCCTCCAGCAAAGGCCAACTACGCCCCCTCTCAAAGCTCCGCAGCGGAAAAAAAACCATCCCTCCCATGTGTTTCTTACAACGATGCTGTACCCTGATGCCAGCAGCATTCGCCTGGAGTTGACTGAAATCGCTCTCATTGCAATGTAAGCACCGTTCAGAAGATTGCAAAGAGGTAAAAGTTGTCAATGTGACCTCCAAGAATAAATAAAATAGCAATGTGCTCCCAATGATATCAAATAAAGGCAAAGGTCTGCGGAGGAATCTCTCACGGTTGAGTTCGTTATACTAAAATTCGACCGCAATCGACCACCCCCCCCCCTCCTCCTACCGTTCTTTCAATTTAAAGGCAGCGCCCGCGTTCATTTGTTGTTCTCACGCCCTCTCTGGATCTAGTAGCTCCCCCTATGAGGATGGTGGACGTGCATGTTTCGCAACCCAAAAATGCGACGGAACAGCGGCGTCCGCCCGCAAAGAGCCGACGGCTCCGCCCACCTGCCGACCACGCCACCCAACTTCATTTCTAATGGTTGCCTGATGGTGCGGTTGTTCCATTGCTGCTCTCTCCACGTGGAGTGGTGAGAGTGAGGTGATAAGGGAAAACAGCTGATATGAACAAGTGGAAACTCGTGCAATCACTCCTTCTCTTCGCCTTAAGCACGTACAACCGTTGTTCGGTATGAAACTCCTTCTAGGGCATTTTGCGTGTTTTCTGTTTCGATTTTTCTTCACTAATAGGCTTCTTGCTACCTCGCTGTTACTACCTGAGCCGCATACTCATTAAATTTGAACGCGGGCGCTGCCTTTAAGGCAGTGAGTGACAATGAAAACATGAACCTTATTGTGGAACCCGCCAAGCGACATCCAGACACCATGCTGTTTCGCTAGAGACCTGAAAGAACACTGATTGACCTAGAAAGCAGAACGACCTTCCATGAACTGTAATCGAATACCTAAAGCGTTCCATAAAAGGACCGTTCTCCTCTGATGCTAAGCTTATGTTTTCCTGCGGATCCCGAGGAACGAAGTCGAAGAATTCTGGGAAGAATATCATCTGAACACTTAACCGCAGATATAGTCGAATGAGTACAGTTTTAAACATTTCATTCCCCTACCTTACAACTTCGAGCAGACGCTCTCTCGACCATGTTCTTACAGGCTTCAAAGTTCTTCTCCAAGTCATCACCGCAAGTGAGTTGACATACGGCGATCTAGAACGAACCATTCTGCTGACCACTGCTTACTTAGTTTACTGCTCAACACAAGAGTGACTGAGTACAATTGTAAGAGAATGATGCTTCCCACAGCAGTTCTTCATGTATTGGAAAAGGCAGATCCTAGTCGTCGTACCCCAAAGTTCAGCTAAAATATTGATGAATACGTCCCCGCAGCTCTAAAAGCCAGGAATTAAATTCCTTGTTCCCGCTGCTAGCTTCATGCAAACGCAGTCCACACCTGCAGGCAAAAGGGGCGGTGCAAGTATGCGGTTTCGTGTGCACGACGGCTGCTAGAGTTCAGAGAAGCAGAGATCTATAGTGTAAGACAGGAGTCGGTACGTTCGCCCGGCTGGCAACTTCTAACTCGAGTTACAGGCTAACTAAGATCACTGGTTTGCGGGCGATCTTGCGCCTCATATGTCTTCGACTGCATGCGGCTGTAGCGGTGTTACTTGGGTTTTTCACAAAGCAGTATTGAGTAATTCAGCCGTGAGCTCTTCAACTGGTGTTCTGCAGCTAGTAAGAATTGCATTGCAAAATTGCAAAAATAGGAATTGGTTATATCGATAGCCCGTTCAGCACTGGAAAAGCTACAGAAAAATGATTTGCTGACATGAACTAAACTTTCAAAAAAGCAGGCAAAGCCCGCAATCATTCGCTATCACAGATAGTGAATGAGGAGTTTGCATGTAGAAGGTTGTGAGTAATTATATGGTGAAGAAAAAAGCAGAGAAAAGGGCCGACTGTCCTAAATAGAGCCGCATTTCGACCCCTGTTTGTACGTGCTTCACTAACTGCGTCTTCAACATTACGCCTTCATCCTGACTCACCTATAGGAACTCTACGACCGTTCAAGTAACAATTTTCAAGCTTTTTCGTCCTGCGGCTTCTTTTTGATGAATGGGATTTGAGAGCGGTGTTTGGAGGCGGAGTCACTGTTAAAAAAAAGAGGTCACTGGACTTATATTCGCTACACGCCCCTCTTTATAATTTTTGATGCTATGCCGATCGCGGACGTATCTTTCAATTGCGGACGGCACCGCCTAAGACAGATCAGCACAGAAGTACCTATAACACTTAGAAGTCGCTCACCAGTGATCTTCCATTTCCAGTCGAGTTTGTCTCCATTGTGCCAGCTGATGTTGTTGGTCCCTATAACGTCCCACAGATCTTTTGGATTGCTCAATCAAATATAGTTGATACCGTAGCAATAAGTAGGGTGTTGTCCAGAGACGTCAATGGCTCCACCGGCGTTTTCTAGCAATATAATGCGGCTAGTATCGAGGTCAGCGAAAGAAACAACCACTGATAGAATTCACTCATTCCAATAACTTCTACTGAATTACTGCTATGCAAACTGTATACAGAGGATGGAATCGTTCGTTTTGCAATGATCGTATTAACTCATAATTTCCAATCTCTCACTAACTGGTTGATAAGGTTTAATTAGAGGCAGTGAGCACGATAATTATGCTTCCGGCAGAAATCGGAAAATGAGGCAGTAAATAGAGCAGAACGACGGTGAAAAAAAACGCGACCTAATACGGCTGGAACGAGCTAAAAACGCTCTACGAAATTAACAAAAAACGCCACTAACTCTTTTAGTCAGTAAGTTACAACATACGAGGGGGGGGGGGGGGGAGGAGCCAAAAAGGAAAAGACTTTTTCTTCCTGCTAATTCGAGCTTGTAAGTTACACTTTATCTATGAATTCTTATCGATATGTTCAACTAAGCATATTGAAGAGCATATTCAAACACCTATTATATACTCCCCACACCTTCGGAGGGAGCGCCATCGAGACTGCCACGCGACCGTGAGTGGGTGCCTGAGATCAGCAAGATAGTCGATTTCTCCGCCACCGTAGACCACCCTATTGAACAACGCCCGAACCAGGTAATTGAGGGGGTTTGGGTCAGATGACCTGCTTGGATATTCCAGCTTCCTCAGTACTCAGGCCCCTCATTCCAAGTAGGAGAGTGTTTCTCCAACGCCCTTCGATTTCATGTGGTGGCACTCAATACTGTAGCAGTACAAAGTTTCCAAGAACGTACGGGCGACGACATGTGGGTGGATATTCTTCTCGAGTTGCTCGATGTAACCGCCAGTGCTCACCTTCAGTCCGTTGCCCGCGAAGAAAATATTGGTCTCTCCATTCCAGGTACGTCCGGTCCCTACCATCAACTGGCGCCTTGGCGACTGGGGTGAAGATGATGTCCTGGATCGTAGCCACGTTGACGGAGCTGCTCGATGTTGGAGGTCATCCAGATCGAGAGTACTGGTCTCCAGGTAGCTATCCATGGGTGACTCCATACTAGAAGTTTCGCAGCTGTTTGGAGGTGACATGAATTCCAAGGTCTTCTCCAGTCAGGTTGCGACTGGAGATGACTTCATATTTTGGTGTACATGAAGGTGATGGGCGAGCGCCAGCTCCTGCTTATAGAGGAACATCTTGGGTATCTTCCGCCCTGGTACTCGTATCCACGTCCTCTGTCTGGGCTGCGAAAACTTTGCTGATATGTGACTCGGTCGAAATGTCTTTTTTTTGCCCCCCCCCTGTACTCCTGAGAATCACTGCTGCTCAACCATAAGTGGGGAAATATCACAGCGATTGCAATGTTATCATGGAAGAAATAATTCAAAGCGACAGAAAACGCAACGGTTGTGTAACATCAAAACATAAGGGCACATTAACAACATCATGAAACACCTGTTGAATTCTCGAGAACTAGGAAAAAACAAACAAATACCACAGAAAGTCTATAACTAGAAAAAAGGTACCGCTTGCAAGAAAACCTTGCAACATTGCCAATTTCAAGAAGGATGTTCCAGTTATTTGCAGCAACTTGCCTTGAGGAAAGAATCCTGTTGAAAGAGAAGGCACTAGTTAGCCAGGTGAAACAGCTGATGCAATCAAAATCAATTTCTGAGTGGTGCCGCCATTTGTAGGTTATGATTAATTTGGTAGGACGTTTCAAGGCACCTTTCGTTGAAGAAGGAGCTGGGCTCTTCCTGCTTAAGAGTGCAATGTCATTTTGTTCTGGGCCCTAATTGAATTATCGTACCGTTTGCCTTTAAAGAAAGAATGGGGCTCACAAAGCTGGATCTACTGTCTTTTCGACAGGATTCTATGAATTTTTGCGAAGGGTGATTAATAAGAGACGTGCTACTCCTTATCTCACC